ATAGTTTTTTTCATTTAGATTTCTATTAGTATTGTAAATAACAATAAATATGATAATGATGAAGAAAATGATAGCAGTTACTCTTATTATTATAATTATGATTATTGTCATTTTGTTGTTGTTATTATTATTATTATTATTATTATTATTATTATTATTATTATTATTATTATTATTATTATTATTATTATTATTATTATATCATTATCATTATCATTATTATTATTATTATTAATATTATTATTATTATCATAATAATCACTATCATTAATGTTATTGTTAATATTCTTATTGTTTTTATGATTGTTAATATTGGCTTCAGTATTTTTTTTTTATCACCACCATCATATTATTACTGTTAGGCCTACTGTCATTATTTGTTATTAAAGTAGAAGAAGGGAGTGATTTAAAGTGGGAGGGGAGAGTGATTTTGAAGAAGATTTAGAAGTGAGAGGGGAGGAGGCAGAGTAGGAAAAAAGGTGAAGAGAGAAGGACAGAAAAGAAAAGGGAAAGAGGAGTGAGGAAAGAGGAGTGGAGAGGTAGGAGGATAGATAAAGGTGGAGAGAGTAGGGGTACCTCATTAATTATTATTGTTATTGTTTGGTATTGTATGGAAGTATTATAGTTGTTATTAGTATTATTATTGTTATTATTATTGTTATTAGTATTATTTTCTTTTTATTTTTGTTATCATGATTATTATGATTATTACAATTGTGATTATTATGATTATTACAATTGCGATTATTATGATAATGATTATAATGATTACTATTGTAGTGATTGATATTATTATTATTATTATTATTATTATTTTATTTTATTATTTTATTTTTATTATTATTATTGATGTTATACTAATGTTGATGTAGTATATGTTATTATTATTATTACTAGTATATTGTTATTATTGTTATTATTTATTGTTATTATTATTATTATTATTATTATTATTATTATTATTATTATTATTATTATTATTATTATTATTATTATTATTATTATTATTATTATTATTATTATTATTATTATTATTATTATTATTATATTATTTATTATTGTTGTTGTTATTAACATTATTTTTACTATTTTTGTTATTATTACTATTTTTGTTATTATTATTGTTGTTGTCATTATTGGCATTATTATTATTATCAATGCCATTATGATTATGGTTACTATTATGTTTATTAGTTTTGTATAATTGGCATATTATTATTGATGTTGATATAGTGTTGATATTATTGTTATGTTATTTTTATTATTGTTGTTGTTGTTATTGTTATTACTATCATTATTATTACTGTTTATTATTATTATTATTATTATTATTATTATTATTATTATTATTTTATTATTATTACTACTACAATTTTTATTATTGTTGTTGTTATTGTTATTATTGGCATTATTATTATTAGCAATGCCATTATGATTATGGTTACTATTGTGTTTATTAGTCTTGTCAAATTGTCATAGTCAATACTTTGATAATGATGATAAGCTTTCTTATTTTAGTCTTATTGTAATTATAATTTTTATTAACGAAAATGTAAATACTTTTAGTAATAATAATTGCTTCTGTTATTATTATTATTATTATTATTATTATTATTATTATTTTATTATTATTATTATTATTATTATTATTATTATTATTATTATTATTATTATTATTATTATTATTATTATTATTATTTTATTATTATTATTATCATTATTTATTATTATTTTATTATTATTATTTTATTATTTTATTATTTTATTATTGTTATTGTTATTGTTATGTATTGTATGTTATTGTTATTGTTATTATTATTATTATTATTATTATTATTATTATTATTATTATTATTATTATTATTATTATTATTTTATTATCATCATTATCATTATTATTATCGTTATTAATTTATTTATGTTATTATTATATTATTGTTATTGTTATTAATATTATTATGTTATTATTATTGTTATTATTCTTATTATTACTAATATAGTTTTATCATTATTGTAATTTCATTTATTATTATTATTATTGTTGTTATTATTATTATAATTATTGTTATTGTTGTTGTTTTTGTTTTTATTTTTTCTGTTTTTTGTTTTTATTGTGATTATTAGTATAATTGCCATTGTTGATACATTAATAACGATAGTTTTCATTCTTATTCTTTTCCTTATTCTTATTAGAATGATATTGATTGTAGTAGCTATAGTTATTATCATTATGATGATGATGGTGATGATGATGATGATGATGATTGTTGTCATCATCTGTATTATTATTATCATGAAAATAATGATTATAATGATAATGATAATACTAATGATACTAAATTTAATAATAATGATAATAATGATGATACTAATTTTAATAATAATAATGATGATAATAGTAAGAATGAAAATTTCCTGTTGTTATTAGCTGTTATTGATATTATTATTCAAGGTATTATTGGTATTGTTGCTATTATTATTATTATTATTATTATTATTATTATTATTATTATTATTATTATTATTATTATTATTATTATTATATTTATTATTATTATATATTTATTATTATTATTATTATTATTATTGTTTGTTAGCATATTACACAATTATTATTAGTTTTCTTCTTCTTCTTCTTCGTCTTATTATTATTATTGTTATTATTATTATTACGAATATAAATGATGATGCTGATGGTTAATTTTATCATTATTGTTATTATTATAATTGTTTATGTTGTTTTTATTATTGTTGTTATTAATAATATTGATTTTATTATTATTATTATTATCATTTTAATTATTATTTTTATTATTGTTTGATAATTAGTTGTTTTATTGTTATTGTAATTTTTTTTTGTTTTATTGTAATTGTTACTATCATCATTGTTGTTGTTTTTATTTTTATTATTATTATGTTATTTACTGTTTGTTATTATTATTATTATTTTGTTATGGTTATCATCATCATCATCATCATCATCAATATTATCCATATTATTACTGTTGTTATTAGCTGTTATAGTTATTGGTGTGACAGTTGTTATTGTTGTTATTATTATTATTATTATTATTATTGTTTGTTGTTGTGTTGTTCGTATTATTATTATTATTATTTATTATTGTTTTATTATTGTTATATTGTTATATTTAATTATTATTATTATTATTATTATTATTTATTATTATATTATTATATTATTTATTATTATTATTATTATTATTAATATTATTATTATTATTTATTATTATATTTATATTATTATTATTATTATTATTATTATTATTATTATTTATTATTATTATTATATTATTATTATTATTATTATTATCATTATATTTATTTATTAATTATTATTATATTTATTATTAGTATATATTAGTATTATTGTATTATAGTATTATTGTTATTATTTGGAATATTGTTATTATTTTCATTAATTTTATTATTATTATTATTAATATTATGATTGCTATTGTTATTATTGTTTTGTCATTGTTATTATCATTATCATTATTGTTGCTGTTTATTTGTTATTATTGTCATTGTTGTTATTGTTATTATTATTATTGTTTTATAATTGCTATCATCATTAATCAACATTATTCTTATTTTGTTTGTATTGTTATTGCTATGATGATTATTATTATGATTATCATTATTGTCAGATGTGATTATTTTTCGACTGTTATCAGTATTATTATTATTAAGGGTGATAATGTTTTTATTAGTATGAATGTTAATTACAAGTCTCATTTATTGAGCAATTAACTTATCTATTGTGACTTTGGAAAGTGGTTCAGGAATATGTTATTATTTCCAGATAATCATAAATAGTGAATATGATTGTTTGATTGCAGTATTGTGTTTTCTTGCTGGTTGTCTGTGGATGCAAGCTAGATGAATGGCTAAATGGATGGGAATTGATGGGTTGCAGGTGGATGTACTGGTTGGTATTTGGTATACCTTTGTCATTGTTTGATTGGCAGTTTGAATAACTGTTCTTTTTATTATTGTCTTATATTTCACCTGTCATTGATGATCTGCTTTCTGTATAGTTAGGTCAATGGACAGAAAAGGTAGAATAAGAAATACTAGCCGGATGAATAAGATGCCATGTGTCCATTTTCCAAATTTGGTCGCTTTGTGCCTGGCCATTTTTCAGGCTTGTTAGCTGACTAGTCAACAACCACAAAGATAGGCTGGCAAGTTGACACTTGGACTATTTGTTTTTGTCATTATGATGGTGGACTGACATTTAGCCTTAGTCTGAATGAGATTGGATAACTGTTTGCTTATTTGTTTTTCAGATAGCTGCCTGAGAATATTTATAAAAGGTTATTTTTTCTTCATGAAAATCTAAATATGTATAGTCTTCGAGATTATAACTTACATTAGAATAAGAGTACCAAAGTAGTAGATGCTACAAGCTTTCCCTTAGTAAGATAATCAAAGCACCTTAGTATTAGGTAGTGATTTCAGTGCTTTGCTTATTTTCCTATATTGATTTGAAACATACCTGGTGCACCTTTTGTTAGCAGAGCTTTATATCCAAGATGTGATAACTAACAACATCCTAATGAATTGGAAGCTAAACTAAAATAAAAGTAGAAGCAAACCATGTTTGCAACTGTTTAGGGAGAAAAACTTTAAATGGTTTAAGTAAGAGAAATTGGTTTGTATCAATCTAGGAATGGTTCGAGTTACCTGAAATACTTAATGGAGAAAATGTCAATACATTATACTAATCTTCTATATTTACATATATGTTCTCTTTCTATTAAAGATATATGTTAGCAGTAGATATACCATAGACTTTAAAGTTTATCATGGCATTTTAGTTAAAGCATGAAAAAGATAATTCTAGCTATCATATGCACACTCTTCCCCTAATTAATTATGCATGTGTACATATACAATAGTATATAGTACAACTTGTAGTTCTGAGAATAGACCAAACACTGTAGTCAGCAATTGAGGACATTTGGTATATTTTGCAGCAAAAGACTTGCAGCCGGCCCAAAGCCCAGCAACACTTGCAGCCACAGCCCCCTCATCAACATCACCAACAGCACCCACAGCACCAACAGCACCCGCAGCAGCACCCCCAGCAGCAACAACATGCATCACGACCCACTCAAGGAGGCTCACTGCCCAACTTCTCAGTCAATTTGCCGGTATGTAAAACCCCCATATATGCAATCAAGCGTTGCATAAAATGGCATGTACAAAGCATCCTTAAGTCCTGTCATGGTAGCCTGAGATGTAGCTTAAGCTTCTATTAAAAGATGATGCTTCATTGTATGAGTGTATTTATTTTGTTAT